TTTAAATTATGTTGTGAAAATGGTTACACTTGGAATATAAAGTTATATTGCGGTAAAGAAAAAGACGCTGGTGCTTCAGTTCCTACAAATGTAGTTATGAAATTGTCTGAAAAATTATTGAATACTGGTAGAACCATAGTGACAGACAATTACTACACTAGTTTGGAACTTGCTAATAAACTTCTAGATAATAAAACTCATTTACTCGGAACTCTACGGGCAAACAGGAGAGGAAATCCCAAAGATGTTGTGACTAAGAAGCTAAAACCAGGGGAAATTATCGCAAAAGAAAACAACCGTGGAATATGCATTATGAAGTGGAAGGACCGGCGTGACGTTTTGATGCTTTCAACTAAGCACACTAACACAACCACTACAATAAAACGACGAACAGGTATAATTGAAAAACCTCTGGCTATCGTTGAATATAACAAAGCAAAAAGCTCAATTGATTTGTCAGATCAGATGGCTAGCTACAGCACCGCATTACGCAAAACTGTGAAATGGTATAGAAAAATTGCCTTAGAACTGCTTTTAGGTACAGCGGTAGTAAATGCTCATTTCCTATTCAAAGCTATCAATGACTCGACAATGTCAATTACAGATTTTCGAGAGATCATAATAGAGAGTTTGCTATTTCCAAAATCAGATGGAGAGGAAACAATTGATCAACCAACAACAGCAAAAAAGTCTAAAAGAATGAATGTGCACACATTTCAGAAAAAAAAAGGACGTGCTCACGAAGTACGAAAATATTGCAAGGGATGTTATGAAAAAAAACTTACAGGTTTAATTACAAAAAATAAGGTACCAAAAGTGACAACATATTGCGAAGATTGCGATAAGCAGCCCCACTTCTGTATAGATTGTTTTGCCAATAATCACAAATAGGATATGAATATTGGTTTATCAATTTTTTTCTGTTTAGTTGACGTCATTTAGCTTGTTTTGTACCGTATTCGTATTAATGTTCTTATTTTGTATCACTTCTTAGGAATAGTAAACAATAACAGCATTTTTTCTTTTTTTAATGAATAAAAAATGAATAAAACAAAAAATTCAAAAATTCACACTGCACGACATTCGCCCTAGACCACAGCGGTCCACACAGTACATTTAACTAATGTAAGCAGCGGTCCACTGGCCTGTACGGAATTAAAACTGCTGCAACTACTGAGCGGTCCCTAGGGACCGCCGTGGCCCTACCAGATATGTTACGAGCGGCCCCCACGGACCGCTGCGGCGTTAAACGTGTTAACGGAATATTTTCTAACCATTTGGTCGACAGTATCTACCCCTCCTTTTGTCTCATTGTAATATAAATTTATTTCTGTCTTTTTCTTTTCTCCGTCTGTTACCGCATTATCATAGTGTTGAGTAGATAGCATTAGTAAGTTATTTTTAGGCTTTTCTCGAGCAATGTAAGACACTAAGGTTATTTGGGGCGTACTAACCGTAGGTTTTGAGTGACATTACGACCTGAATTTTTAATTGGTTCAATTAGCCTCATTACAACGTCTTTTCCTGAATTAGACACATTTGGTGTTTTCCCAGCGTACGGTTCCATACTAATAATATAACGAGTCTTAGCATCAGTTAGCATCCGAATAAGTATGCCATATTTACCTTGTCTTTCATAAATACCTTAAACGGACATCCTTCCTCTAAAAAGGCTTAACATTTCATCGACAGTGACGACAGAACCAGCGGTATAACATTTTGGAAGTAACTGATTCAGCCTTACGAATATGTCTCTAATAGGTGCAAACTTGTCTTGTTCTCGCCGAACTTCTCTAGTATTAGGGTCATCAAATCGGACTATTTTGGCTATTTGGAGAAATCTAGTTTTACTCATAGTGCCCGTATAAAAAGACCTTCCGGCAAATCCTGACCATAACATATATCGAGGTGGAACAGTCATCATATGCACCCATCAATATCAACAAGCCGATATATCCTTCTAACTCAATTCGAGTAACAGCAGAAACATTTTCTTGCATAGCCCTTGCATTAGAGTGTTCAAGAATTATATTAAAAATATCGTTAACGAAAAACTTTTCAAATGATTCCCGAATTGTGTTGACTTCACCGTATTGTGTAAGTCCTTCGCGTTCCTTCAATATATTTGGAGGTGCTCGTCTAACTGCCTTTGGGGGTTGCGTAACATAAACTCTTCCGGTATTGGTGACATATTCTGTAGTGTTTTCATTCTCACTTTCGCTCATGTCTTCATCTTCACTTATGTTGTCCCCACTGTCACGAACTGAACTAATATCAATTAAATTGTCCTCAATTTCACTCACAGCTTCTTCAAAATCGTCTACATCACAAAGTTTGTTTTCATCACTACCGTTTAAACACTTTTGCATTTCCTCTTCCAACTCTTTTTGAGTTAAAGGCCTCATACTCTCACGGTCCCACATTCTTGAAGTATGTGTGCAAAAGGTGCAGGTTTTGTTGATATATTTGAGGTTAAAATGTAACACGTGCACAATGTAAGTAAATAGTGTTGTACTAACCTGTAACATGGTTGAAATAGGCAACTGTAATGACGCCATCTAGCATAAATGGTGATAAACTCACGCGAACACATAGTCCCGTATATTACCAACCGGGGGGCAAATTTATGCCCAGATGCATTTACCCCGAAAAAATATATAAATAAGACAAAATCTATTTGAAGGTAAGTACATATTCTATTAATATATAGTATTTATGACAACTACTAAAGATCTCAAGGGATTATAACGGGCGATCAAAAATGAGTTGCTGTCGAGTCGCCTTTGGAAGTTCAAGTTAAATACGATTTTCCATGTAAACAAAAATTTCAAAGGCGACTCGACAGCAATTCATTATTGATCGTATAGTATATGCGCAATTAAAATTAAATGGACAAAACGTATCCACTGGGCACAAAATGCCCCCCGGTTGGTAATGCAAGGGTTAAGGCACTAACAACACTAAACTTAAACGTCTTAAACACAATCAAAGAGTAGGTATATAGGTACCTACACTATCTAATAAATTAATTACTAGTTATTACCTACTTCTTTGTTTTATTTTATTATGATCACCGACAACGAACGCCGAACGGACAATCTGTTGCATGTCTTTAAGAAAACTGAAAACAAAAGTGTAGAAATAACTGAATCATCTCATTTCATCTGCATCAGCACAGAGACTTATTACTACCAGCAAAGCAGCTGACCGGCGGGCGCCAGGATACCGAGATGTGTTTTTCTTTTGTTTTAGTTTTGTTAGCAAGCATAGTAATGGTAAAATATGCTAAAGTTAATATTTTTTTATTTTCTTGTTTCTCAATGGGGGGGGGGGGTTTCAACCCCCCCCCCCCCTTATCTACGGCCCTGCGTCCATTTCAAGGCATTCCAACATTAGCTTATCTCTTGCTCTTTCTCGTAAGAATTCATCTAATTACAAACACAAAACGTAAAATACACTTCCAAATAGACCAAAATAGACTATACAGATTCATGTTTTACCTTTAGTAGAATTTGAAAAAGTAAGCGATAATCTACACTACCGCAATGGTTACTGGCCGCGGACTGTGACTCCGCAATCACTTCTAAACACTAAATACACAACCCTACGCACTCCAAATTGTAAAGAAGTACTGGTTGAATAGTTCTTGAGGAATACTGTGAATGGTGGGGGAATGAACGGTAACACGTGATTCCAGATGCCTGCGGAGCGTGAGTCCGCGCGTCAGTGACGAAAGGTTAAGGGAAGGTGTTGAACTAAGTGTTCTGTACGTATAAAAGTATACAGATATACCCATACTGCCTGGGATTGACGATGGTATAAACACTACTACTGCCCTTAAAAAGAAGGACCTTCCTGACATCAAGTTTACGCAGAATATGGTCAATGACAGTTTCTACGCGTTCTTCGAAACCTAGTGAATTACACTTGCTGGGTACTATCTCAATAAAAAGAATATCGCTTAAAGCCAGCGTAACCTCCGTGTTACCAGAACATTTTCCGCACCTTGGTTTGACCTGCATGGTTGTGTCCAACGAGTCCTGAAGATGCGACATACCTTTAGCTATAATACCAGAGTGTGTAAACAGAACGGGAAAGTTTAAGGTACTGAAGCAACGGCACATTGAGTCCAAACATTGTACTGTTCCAGTGTAAGTACAAATATATAGCAGTTTAATCATAGTTTGTACTGTTGTTTCGCAATTTATTCTTTCTAAATCCATTTCGCCATAGTGCTCTTTATTGAATAAAATTCCGCTCTGTCTTTCATCAAATTCTTTTTTGTGAACTTCTCTGCCAACTGTTATTGCTGTAAACTGCTGAAGGCTGCTGTGTCTGCATTGTGAACCTGGGGTGCTCGAACGCTTCATTTCTTGATCCATAAGTTTCGCTTTCACAACTCCATAGTTAGCGCTGCTTTGATTCCATTGTTTAAGCGCTGTCCACCAACGATCATACCATTTTAGGCAATTGTTACAGGAGATGAAACATACTACATCTGTGTCTCTCGAGTTTGTCAGGGCCGATAGCCAAGGGGGGGGGGGGGGGGTTTGAAACCGAAATAATAAAGGAAAAGAAAATTATTAGTCGCAGCCAGCAGCCGACTACAGAAAATTCGTGGTTTGACTTCGGAAATGATAGCGAAAATCGGAGCGTGCATCATTTTCTATTTCTAGGTCGGACTGTACCTACCGTAACGTGCTTTTGTCCGTTGCTGTCGCAGCACCGCCAGCAGCCGAGTGACACCGGAAGTCTAGGTGCTGCGTTGGCGCAGGCTTGCAAAAGCAAAATCATATCAACCTACTCGTGTTAATCAGTATTTCCTGTGGAGTCGCTGTCGCAAGTCGCGTGAAAATTACGTGTCGGCATACTTATTTGACGAGCTCTGGAAATCATTTTTCTTTGGTGAGTAAAAATTATCCTATTTTAGGTTTATCTGCCTCTATTCACTGGTTGATTGTGTTTGTATCAGTAATCAGTAATATTCCAGATCATTTACGATGCCTAAGCGTCCGGGTCCGGGCGCTCAATCTTCCCTATTTCATTATTTTGCAAAAACTCCCAAAACGTGCAGCAGCAGCCGAGATGGCACTACTGCTGTTGAAAGCACGTCGCAAGAAGAAGAAACCATGTGCGAAAGTCAAGCTTCTACCGCGACTGAGCCAGCTCAACCTAGTGAGGTAAGTGAGGAGATTAAAAAACCGGGGCACCCTTTAGATGTCGGGAAGTACGTTAATCAAAGGATTGACGACGAGATGAAACTTAAACTTCTCAGCACTCCATGGATTCCGGAAGATTCATTTCAATTTCCTGTAAGTGAAAAACGAAACCTGCGGTTCCAAAGGCAGTGGCTGACCCGGTATTCCTGGCTCGTGTACACTGAAACTGATGGTGCGCTTTGTAAATATTGCGTTTTGTTCTCGAAAGAATTTTGCGGAAAAGGATTCAATCAGAAGGTGAAGTCGCTTGTAAAAGAACCGTATAAAAATTGGAAAGATGCTTTGGAAACGTTCACTGCACATGAGAAGAAGAACTATCATCAGGAGGCGATGATAATCGGTACCAACTTCCTGAAAACATCGAGAGATAGAAATCTAGACATTAGGAACATCGCCGATGCTGTAAGGAAGAAACAAGTGGAAGAAAATAGGAACAGGTTATTTCCCATAGTCGAGACCATTAAGCTTTGCGGACGGCAAGAGCTCGCACTCAGAGGAACAGACGATTCAGGACCAATTTTAGTAAAAAGTGACGAGCCTGTGATCAACGATGGGAACTTCAGAGCACTACTAAGAATGAGAATCAAATGTGGGGATGATAGATTAATCAAGCATGTTGAGAATGTTGCTCTGAATGCTTCATATGTTAGTTCCAAGATTCAAAACGAATTGATCAATATTTGCGGAGAAATAGTTCAAAAACAAATAGTAAAGAATGTCAATGATGCCCAAGTGTTTTCAATATTAGTCGATGAAACAGCAGACATATCCAGACAATAACAAATGTCCATCTGCGTTCGATATACAAAACAAATGGGCAACCTGTACGTCATCAAAGAAGATTTTTTATGTTTTGTGAAAGTAGAAAGTACCACTGGCAAGGATCTGGCAAATACGATTGTTACATCCCTTCAGAATCTTGGGATTGATTGCAATAACCTGATTGGACAAGGCTATGATGGTGCCGCTGCGATGAAAGGATCGTTTAAAGGAGTTCAAGCTGTCATTAGAAAAACCTACCCAGAAGCCCTATACGTTCACTGCTGTTCGCATTCTCTAAACCTAGCTTTATGTCATTCCTGTAATCTTCCAACTATTCGAAACTGCATTGCAACTGTAAAATCCATTGCAACTTTCTTGAGAGCATCACCCAAAAGGACGGCTAAATTACAAGAATACATAAAGACACTAATACTCCTATAATAATATTACAAATAAATCATTTTACTCATTATTTATTTTTCTTCATTGTTTCTGTGTCACAACAAGGTCAACTATACCAAACTATGTCAACAAATGACTTCAGGTTATTTCTATCATTATACCCCTACAGTTATATTAAAGGTGAAAAACGTGCACAATTGGGGCTACTACACTGTACTTTATTTTTCTAATAACAACCCCCCTCGAAAAAATATTCTGGGTACGGCCCTGACTCGAGGAGGTGTTTTTGAGTTTGTTCTTAGGTTGTAATTGTAAGAGCAGTAGGAGAATAAAAACGTGTTTTTAAGTTCAATTCATTACAATCGTTTTTATACAATTCTCAACAGATACACATGGATCTTTGCGGTCCTATCATTAATGTATATTACTTAATTATTATAGTCGTCTCCCGACTTACTTTTCAATTTGATGATGAGATGTGCATTTTCAACATTTCAATTTATTCCCTCCTGCTTCAGTCAGTTTTATATACACCAGTTTCATCTTCTGCTAGCAAGCACTCCACATAATGGATGGATGTAGGTTTCGTCTAAAAATGTGATCGGTTTCTTGTTTGTCCCTAAAGCATCGTGTTCTTTCATTATTCGTTCCATTAATAATTTTCGCTTATTATGACATTTTTAGAGCATTTTCATAATAATAATAATAATAATAATAATAATGTAAATACTCTATGATAGTGCTGCGACTATATCAGATTCGTCAAGTAGCGTAGATAAAACGAACACTAAAGAAACAAAACCGAGCAAAACAAAAACATGTACTACAAAAGAAAAAAAGTAGTAATAGTTACAGGTGCCATTCCGCACTTAAAAATTCATCGACAGAATAAAAAGGGTGTAATTTAAGGTATTTACTTACCTAATTTTTTAATTTATTGAAAGATAAAAGACGCAGATTTGAGGGTATAACTTATTATAACATTTTATCCCGTAATAGTTACTACAGTTCCGAGATGTTGTAAGTCGAATAGATTTTGAGCTAATATTGTCTCTACACCTAGTGGAGTATTCATGTATGTTATATGAAAACTGGTAATCAGCAATGTTTTCTTTTATGAATAATATACAATGTAGAATGTACCAGCTGGGAAGGGTTAAAATACCATGTTCAACAAACTTACACCTACAACAACTTCTGTAGCCTAAATTAGTGAGTATCCTAATCGCACGTCTTTGTATAGCAAAAATCCGTTTAACCTCAGAAGAATGTCCCCATGCAATTATGGCGTAGCTCATTACTGAGTGGAAGTAACCATAGTAAGCATTTAGCATAACTTCATGAGATGTCATTGATTTCAAACTCCTCAAAACAAAACATGCTTTCGACAGTTTTGTGCACACCTGATTGCAGTGCACAGACCAATTCAATTTCGGGTCAAGATATACACCCAGGAATTTTGATGAACCAGTATTATTGATTTGATCAATTTGTTTTAAACTAAATATGCACTTAACTGATTTATCATGATTTACGAGCAACTTATTATCCGTAAACCACTCTTCAAGAGTATTAATACCGGTGCTTGTGTAGTCAGTTATGGTGTTACATCTATTTAATAAAGTAGTATCATCTGCATATAAAATTAACTCATCATGCTTGGTTACCGGAGCAATGTCGTTAATATATATTAGGAAAAGTACTGGGCCAAGTACTGAACCTTAAGGCACGCCTGTCTCAATTTGCTTAAAACCCAATGCACAGTTATTAAAACATACATACTGAATTCGATCGTTCAAATACGATTCTAACAACATAATGCTTTTATATTGGAAATTATATTTTGGAAGTTTACTCAGTAATATTGAGTGACTCACACAGTCGAAGGCTTTAGTTAAATCTAAAAAGTTGCAACACAAATTTCATTAGATTCAAAACAGGTTAAAATTAAGTTGGTTAACTTCGAGATGGCACTCGCAGTGGATTTATTGTTACGAAAACCAAATTGACTGTCGCAAAATAACTTTTTTGCTTCAAAATAGGACATAATTTGTTTTTTTAAAATTTTTGCAAAAATTTTAGAAAAGACTGGAGTAATTGATAGTGGTCGATAGTTTGTAAGATTATCCTTACAACCCTTTTTATGCAGAGGAATAACTTTGGATATTTTCAATTCATTGGGGTAAACTGAATTTCGTATACAGGCTGTAATAAATTTACCATCAAACTTTAGGCTTTAATCAAATAAAAAATATGACATTAATTAATCAAAGCTGTCTATATAATATTAGCACATTCTCCCCTAGTTATTTTGAAATGTAGTCTTGTAGATACAACGGTAGTTTTCTTTCTCGTTGCGATCTTGTTTGTTCTTCTGTTAATACTGGGTTGGGGAAGGAATTGGATTCAATGACAGGAACTTCTGATACATGAGGAACAGCTCGATCAGATTCAAAACTGTGATCTTGACCTGTAGATTCTTCACGACCAAATATTGAACTGTCCCCTGTTGGAGCCAAATGTTTTAAAGAAACCGTAACTTCCTTCCCATTTGCCCGTCGGATTAAAGCATATTCTGGATTTGCCTCAATCAGATCCACTTCTTCGACCAATGGACTGTACTTGGAAGTTCGTACATGACTCTTCATTAGTACCTTTCCTGGATTTGCTAACCAAGAAGGTATAGCTATTCCATTTGTCGAACGACGTGCATGGGAGAACATCCTTTCGTGAGGAGTGCAATTTATAGATGTACATAAAAGGGAACGTATGGCATGTAATGATTCTGGCAAAACTTCTTCCCATCGCGAAGTCTCTAATGCCTTATTCTTCATAGCCAAAGACATGGTTTTCCATAAAATTCCATTATACCGTTCGACAAGTCCGTTGCCCTGAGGGTTATATGGAGTAGATAAACTCGTAGCGATGCCTTGTGTATGAAGATAGTTAATGAGATCTTTCGAGAGAAATGATGTTCATCTGTCAGAATGAATATATGCAGGAGCCCCGAATATGGAGAAAAGATTGTAAAGGTTTGTTTTAATCGTAGCAGAGGTCATATCCCGACAGGGGTAGGCAAAAGGAAATCTTGTATATTCGTCAACAATAGTCAAAATATACGTATTCTTAGTGTTAGAAGGGACTGGTCCTTTAAAATCTACATTGAGCCTTTCGAATGGTCTTGTAGCTTTAATCAGATGATTTTCTTGAGATTTATAGAATCGAGGTTTCAATTCTGCGCAAACGGGACATGCAGAAGTGATTTGTTTAATTTCTTCTAAAGAAAAAGGTAGATTCTTTGATTTGATCCAGTGATACATTCTGGTAACTCCTGGATGACACAGAGATTTGTGTAAATTATACAATTCATCGTGATTTGTGGCTCCACAAATCCTCGATAACGCGTCAGCTACTTTGTTGAGAGAACCAGGACGATATGAGATATCAAAGCTATAACAAGACATCTCTAGTCTCCATCGCTGAATTTGATCGTTTTTGATTTTACTTGTATGTTGCAAATTGAACATAAACGACAATGCTTCCTGATCAGTAATAAGTTTGAAATGTCGATTGCACAAAAAATGTCTCCACTTTCTAATACTCTCAATAATAGCAGTAGCTTCTTTTTCTATTGCAGGGTACTTCTTTTCACTTTCGGTAAGAGTTCTAGTAAAGAAAGCAACAGGACGTCCGTTTTGTGTGAGAGCTGCAGAGATAGCAACATCTGAAGCATCTGTTTCGACAACTAGAGGAAATTTCGGGTCCACACATACGAGTAAAGAGTTGGCAATGTCTCTCTTAAGTTTTGAAAAAGCTGATGTGGCTTCTTTTGATAAAGGAAACGATTTGCTATTCATCAGAGGACGAATCTTTTCAGAGAATCGTGGAATCCATTTCGAGTAATAAGCAAACATACCGACTATTCTCTGTAAAGATCCTTTATCACTAGGTGGAGAAATTTCCAACAAAGGCTTCAAACGATCGGGATCCGGTTTGATCGATCCTTCACTTATAAGATGTCCTAACAGTTTAATGGAAGTAGTAGAAAATTTACTCTTCTTCTCGTTTAATTTGATATTGTATTTCTTTGCTACTTCAAGGAATTTATTAAGATTTTCGTCATGTTCAACTTTATTGCGTCCGCCAATTGTAATGTCGTCAATGTAACAATGAACGCCGCAAAGTTTTTCAGTGTCGACTATTTTATCATTAAATTTTTGGAAAGCCGGTACCCCGTTAGTGACACCAAAAGGAAGTCTTGTAAATTGATACAGTCTCCCGCAAGCTTCGAATGCCGTAAACGGTCGTTCTTCAGCACAAATTGGAACTTGATGGTAGGCCGACTCAAGGTCTATTGTGCTAAAATGACTATATTTGGCTACTTCCGAGATCACCTCCTCCACACATGGTGCTGGGTAAGCATCTAATTCGGTGAATTTGTTTATAGTATTTGAATAATCTATGACCATGCGTTTTTTATGATTAGCATTTTTAGTAACTATTACTTGGGCCCTCCATGGAGAGGAACTCTCCTCAATTATTCCAGCTTGAAGGAGCTTGGTTACTTCTTCCCTGATGAATTCATTATCTTCTGCTGAATGTCGTCGTGACTTTGTTGCAATAGGTTTCACATTAGGGAGAGGTTTGAAAAAATTCGAATTGGTTCTATATTTACATGAGGAAACACTGTAGCGCTAGATATAGAAAGGGGCGGATTGGGACCACCAAAATTAACATCAAGTCGCGAATGCGATTTTAAGATATCATGGCCCACAATAATATCAGCACATAAGTTTGGTAAGACTAATAGTTTGGTGTTTATATACATGTGATCTAATATTTTCAGATCTATTTTAACACATCCTCTTACACAAGATGACAATGAGGTAGATGCCATGGATACTGTAATTGTACCTTCAGGGAAAATTTCAAACCCATTAATAATTGTAAATTTCTCATTGATATAACTGTTGGAGCTACCAGTGTCAATTAGGCATTGTGCTATTTTTCCATTAATGTTTGCTACTATAGTAGCTTTAGATAGAGTTGGTAAGGAACTAGCCCCAACAATACTTGCAATGAATGTTTCTTCCAAGGATGATTTGGGTTCAATTGAATCATTAAGAGCTGCAGAAGTTTTAACAGTTGTATTAGTCTTCTTGGAAAGGCATACTTTTGGATAATGTCCAGCTTTAGTACAGTTCGTACAGATAAAATCACGAGCTGGGCAAACAGAGCGCGGGTGACGAGATCCTCCACAAAAGTAACATTTGTAAGTAGTTCCAGAACGTGTTGAATAACATTGGTTATTAGATATTCCATCAGAATTTGATGTACTTGTGTACGTTTCTGAATTTTTAATTGCTCTTTCAATTGATCGAGCCTTTTCTTCTGCTTCATCTAGTTCAAGGGACTTGTTCTCTAAAAGTCTCTGTCGTATGTTAGATGAAAATAAACCTGCAATAAAGGCGTCTCGAATGTAATCTTGTTTGTTTTGTTCAGCAGACACCGCCTTAAAATGGCATTCCTTGGCTAACGACTTGAGAGCAGTCAAATACTGATCAATTGATTCTGTTGAGAGTTGTTTTCGAGTTGCAAGTTGATGTCTAGCATAAATCAAGTTTTTCGGTTTCACATAAAGGGCTTTAAGAATATCTATAGCGGCTTGGTATGTTTTACAATCGTTAATGTATTCAAATACGTTAGAAGATAAAAAATTTGACAGTACCTGCAACTGATCTTCGTCTTTCACTACATATTCGGATCTTTCAGTGAAGTTTTCGAATAGTCGAATCCAATGAAGCCATTCTTGTTGAGCCGTAGGACTATCAGGGTTTGAAGAAAACTTGTCTGGTTTAAAGAGCTTTTCCATTTTATTTTATTTGATTAAATTGTAATAAATTTACCATCAAACTTTAGGCTTTAATCAAATAAAAAATATGACATTAATTAATCAAAGCTGTCTATATAATATTAGCACACAGGCATTTATAATTTTAGTTAATGGAACAATTATGACGTTTAACACGGACTTCACAATGTCAGCCGTGATGCCAAAATGATCTCTACAATCACTATTATTAATGCTGGATACAGTATCACGCATCTCATAAAGGATATTCCTTGAAAATCAAACGACGTAGAGTTGTTGATTTTGAAATTACTAAAATATGTTTGGGTCATTGTTCTGCACAGGCATATACCTATGCATATGCATATATGTTGCAATAAAGGCACAAAACCATAAAAAACGAAGATTAGATGAGGTAGAAATTGACCCTGATTTTGTGATGCCTTCACCACCATCAAGAACTTCAAGTTTACAAAGTTTAGAAGAGATTGATGAAGAAAGCAAAACCCCATCGCCAACCATCATTATTCATCAAAATATTGTTATTTGCCCTTCCAATTCACAAGTCCCTAATTTAGGCGAAAATGAAACCACTGAAGATCCTGATCTCGGTTCTGATAGTATGTTTATGACGTAAATTATCGATGTCATAATTGATTCCGCACTCGCACAATGCCAAAAGAAAGAAGCAAGTTTATATACTAAAGTAATAAAGAAAAAAATAGAGGACAAGAAAAACATTTCCGCGGATGAACGGCAAATAATTAACGCCAATTTTTGGAAAATGACAAATCTGGAGCAAAAAAGTTTTGTATTAAATATGACAGAGAAAAAAGACACAAAAAGGAAGACCGTTTTAAACTCTCGAAGGTCCCTGAGTTTTACATATAGACTAAAAAATGGTGAAGGTGAAATAAAAGAAGTATGTAAGAGGTTTTTCTTAGCAACTCTGGGGTATTCACTAAATATCGATCGGGTTATACGAACAGCTTTATCTGCAGGTCGATTAGAATTAAAAGCGAAATCTAGTCAACGTGGCCGTTCCAGTTCAACAAAGAAAATAGATCGCACATTAATACAACATCATATAGAATCGTTCAATCCCACAATATCACATTATAGGAGGGAACATGCTCCAAATAGGAGATACCTGCCAAGTGACATTACGATTGTAATGATGTACAGCCAAGTGACATTACGATTGTAATGATGTACAATCACTTTAAGGAAAAATATACAGATATATCGTTTTCCTACTATCTGTACAGAGAAGTTGTTAGTAAAATGAATATTTCGTTTTCATCTCTTGGACACGAAGAGTGCTTCATTTGTGAGAAAATAAAAATGCATGAAAAGACGTCTAATCATAACTCCAAATCCTTAGAAATTGCATGCGATGCATGTGCCTTATGGAAGAAACCTATAGAAAAAGCAAACCTGGCTAGGAAGCAGTACCAGAGTGATGCTAAAGCTGACATTCCTGATACCCTGACATGTTCCGCAGATCTTCAGAAGGTAAACACATCACTATAAATAGTTTATTAAACGGCTGTAATAAAAACGTTACCTCCAGAACACAATTAAAACAGCATTTTTTGTTTCAGGTCATTCCTCGGGCAGAAATGTTCAAAGAGGTGATCTTTGTACCGCGCATTATCGCCTTTAACGAAAGCATTGTTCCGGTAGGAAAAATGCAGAAGACCTTTCCAACGGCTGTTGTGTGGCATGAAGCGACTTCAGGACGATCGAAAGAGGACATTATAAGTGCTTTTTACGCATTCTTTTTAGATAATAGAGATGTCAAAATAGTATATTAAGATACAAGTGTATAATCAAGTCTTTAAAGCACGCGCCACGAGTTTAAGGGCACGACGCAAAGCGGAGTGCCTTTAACGTTGCAAGTGCTTTAAAGACCAATTATACACGTGTATCTTATAGTATTTTTTATTATACCTGCAGTATAATTTAAAAATAGGAAATACAATGAAGTCATTTTCGCACGCATTTGAGTGTTTAAAACGGAGATTGTGATTCAGGTATAATAAAAATGTTATTTTGTGGTTAGACAACTGCGCGGCCCAAAATAAAAATTGGGCTTTGTTCAGTTTTTGTACTTATCTGGTGAATTCTTCTGAGACTGCTTTAAATTCTTTAACTTTAAAATATTTTGAAACGGGATATACCTTTATGTCGGCAGATTATTTTCACCACCAGGTGGAAAAATCTCTTAAACAAATGAAAAAAATATATGACTGAGGATTACAAACTAGGTGTTCAAAAATCAAATTCGTCCAAAGTAAGGCTGTTAGAAATGAAAATTTTTTCCATTGGGAAGATAAAACTTCCCAATATAAGTTAACTCGCATCAATCCTCGTCCCTATTTAAATGAAATGGTACAAGTTGAATTTGCCAAGGGAAAGTATAGTTTATCACCCCCGGGTTTTTTTACAAACTTCAACTGATTTTAACTAAAATTAATTGTGGTCGTTGTGTAATTAATTGTACCGTTAAAATTTGTTTGATGCAGTCAGCCGGTAGCCAGTTTTTGTAAAATCCATTCTGGGGGGTTAAATTGACGCTCAGCCCCCGGGTTTCTTTACAAATTTCAACTGCTTTTAACTAAAATTATTTGTGCTCGTTGTGTAATTAATTGTGCCGTTGAAAATTTTTTAATACAGTCAGCCGGTAATTCTAAAATACAATTTAACAAAAGCCGTTGTTTTATAAAACAATTTTGGCGATTAACTTAAACCTTAGCTCTAGGATTTTTTAACAAACAGAACCGATTTTAAACATACATTGCGTTATATTGTGCGCCATGTAACCGGAAACAACAAATCGGACATTTTTAGCGTTCATCTGATCGCCACTTTTTTAGATAATACCTTTTCCTGGCATTCAAAGCTTCTAATACACACGACAAACAGGTGAACTTGCAAGTTAGGTATAAATCAAAGACATGGGTACGAACGGTAATTGTTTATTGATTATGCTTTACATATATAATAGCTTCAATGCATACACTTTCACTGTCCACACATGTTTCTTTTTCTTTTAACAGATCATCATAAATTTCCCATCTGCCATGCAGTCGGAAAGCGTAGGTTTTAAAATGACCTAACATTTTTTCATTAAATGATGCAGTAGATCCTGAATATGTAATTATTCCCCCTAAAAGATATTTTTGGTCATTAATCCAAACTGAACGCTTTATGGTCGACAGCTTTTGAGGACAATTGCTACCTATTTCAAAAAAAAGATAGTTTTCATTGTATTCGTATGTACAATTGGAGATAGTTGTCGCAGTCTGTGTTGGTGCATTTTCTTGTTTGTGAAACATCATGTAGTTCTTTAACAATATTTAAATTTAGATGCGGAGCAACTGGAATATCCGGAGATGTTAAAAGTTTTACTCTATTGCATTGATTGCAAAAGCGTTTCTCCGTTAACGAATATTGCAATTCGCCCATTTGACAAAGAGACCTAATTAGGTACTCAATTGTGGATTGTGTGTCAATTTGAATTAAATTATGTGAATATTGTGTTACTGTTTTTTTGAATAAATCTAAAAGAAGCTCCGCTCTAAGTTTATACAATTTTGTGTTGATTGTTTTGAAACACATTTCAATTAATTTTCCTAAGCGCGTTTCTTGAAACTTAAAAATATTTGACATATTAGGATAATCGCACCAATTACAAGCTATGAGATGTACAATTGCATCAAAGCCACAAGTATTGGTGAATATGTATTGTAGTCCTTCAATTTTAACTGTTTTTAAATCTGGACAACTGCCGTTTCTTATAATATTTATAGCTAATGATCTAACGCTTTCGTTTAAATTCATTTCCAACCATTCCGAATTTTTTTCTAAATAGGAACTTCTTTTCCGCTTTTTTATGGGCAGGACAGTTCCTTTCCAATTTTCTTCCGCCGAAAACTCTTCCGTGTTTTTTATTCGTTCTAAAATAAGACTAAATATTAGTTTTCTTTGCTAAATCAGGGCAGTGTTTTAAAAAGTAAGACATAACTTTGATTAAAAAATCACATTGAAGAAGTGTTTGATAATTATTGTCTTAAAGTTATGAAGATATCTATATATAATAAATAGGTATCTCATACCATTTGAACTATTTCCTTGCATTTTTTTTAAACTAAAGTTGAATCATGGGTGCACGGTAACCCAGATTAAGGTTGTGACGAAAGCGCCCGTGACGCAAGTTCACTATAGACTGAGGAACTCTATACAGAAAAATACAGATCAAATTTGTCGGATTCTACCACGATTCTACTTAAAAATCAATATTTTGATCAACACAATCGTTCTCCTAGATCCGGAGCACTGAAGCATTTAGAAGGAGTTCTTGAAGTTATGAAAAACCACAAAAATGACTCGTATCAGATAATTAGCAATACTAATGTCCGGTTTCACAAAGGCTGATTGAAGTTAACAAATGATTAAGGTAGTGATTCAGTAATTTGATTGGATAGTAGTGCTAAATGAACAACCAATCATATTCTTTAATCAATAATCACTGACTTACCCATTTGTTAACTTTAATCAGCCTTTGTGAAACTGGGTATAACTCTTGGCAAAAAAGGTAAACATCAAATTCGATTTTTATTTTTTTAAGAATAGCCGCCATTCGAAAGTTTTTCAACATCAAATTTTTTGAGAAAAAATTATTTGTTTTGATACCATTTCCAAACTTGTTATTTTACTATTACCCTGCCCTGCATATGTATAGAAAAGCGATATGTTTAAATTAGTTTAAAAAAATACTTTACCTTCTGTGTCTTTAGACTGCACTAGATGTACAAATAAATGGTCATCACCGTTGCCATGTATGCTATCTGAAATTAATTTATTTTGTATTTTTTATGAATTATACGAATATAGTCACCTTTAGTTTTTATAGCTTCCGAGAGTTTTATAGCATCCGGGAGGACAACGTTTTCTATTTTAGAAGATGCAATCTTCATAGTTCCTTCAAGCGCCAATAAGTGTTTAGACAAAAACGCGTCTAACCGCAAAGGTAGTACAGAATTTGAAAAGATTCGTTTTTTTAGTTCACTAAAGTTGCTTTCGACCGAAGCACTTTTTTTGGCTAATGGAAATTCACCTGATAAGACGTTAGACCATATTGGTAAATACTGCAATAATTTTATGATCTTTGGAACTAATTCAGGTAGATACTGTGCGTTATCATGATTTCCCGATGAAGATGAGATTTTGATTCGGACCTCATTTTCTATTTCTTTTCCCCATTGCATAAAGTTGTTACTTTCTTCACCTTCAAAGTGTTCCTTTTCGCAGACATCCTCCGTATCTTGCTCTTCTGAATGCAGTTCTTCTGTCGCCAGTTCATTCCCGATTAGGTTTAATAAAAAATTTTTGCTGGTTTGGCAAGGTGTCTCTTCTCCATACATAACACCATCACTTTCAGAAAGGGCAACTGTAAATATTGCTTTCAATATATTTTCCACTTCTAGCATATTTTTTGCTTGAATAAGTTGCCCCATGCATCTTTTATAAAATTGTCTACTTCTTCTCAATGCATTTTTAAGGCACGGCCAACGACAATATATGTGCACTACATGAGCCACATCGCCACGGACATAACAGGGTACCTCAAAATTAGATTGTAATCCAGTTAGATAATTGAAGCAATACTTTATGTAACTATTTAATGACGAAAATCCTGTGAACGCTCGTACTATTGCCGATAGTAACGCTAGGGACATGTCGCATACTATTTCATTAGGAATAATTGCACCACCTCGAATCCAAAAATTCAACCAATGTGTTATACTATCGGAGTCGTGTCTCTCTGATAACATGTTTGAAACAGAGTATTGAGTGCTAGTTACAGTATCTCTTAAAGTGACATCGTAAAGTAACAGCGTTCGACTTTTTGTGTTATCAGGTCGAATTAATTTTTTTACTAGTCCTCCTGTTGCATCTACCGACACCTTTGAATACGGGACCTTCTTGCAATAATGATTATACAGATGAATTTGAGGGGTACTCCAATAATGAACATAAAACCGATCCAGACCAATATCTTTAATGTAATTGTTAAAAGGATATAAGTACTTCATTATAAAAATTCCCATTATTGGGTCATTATGGAACCTATCATCCTTTTTGCTTTCATATACAGCATTTCTCAATACGTTACTGTTAGATAGTATGTTTGGTTCCATATCGCCATAATCCATCATACAATTGGCCATTTCTTTGCGAATACCCTTCCGTTCAGAAATGGTTTTTGCGAGCATGTTTCGTTGGTGTCCTCTATTTATTTTTATTTATTTATTTAGCCTTTAATTTTGAGTGGGCGGGGTTTCAGCCAAGGCTGCTCTACCAACCCAACCCACTATACATTTACAAATATCCATGCCCGAACCCGGATTCGAACCAGGGACCCTAGCACCACAGTCCAGCTTCAACTGAACTGCGCCACACAGGCCGGCTGGAGTTGTCTTTTTGTTGTACTTCGACAAGATTCAAAAGTACCACTATAACTGCAACGAATGACTACTCTACTATTTCCTTGCGGCATATGTTTTAACTTTCCAGTTAAGACAGATTGGCAAGTAGTACATGATCCAAAAACTAGTAAATAATGCTCTCCTTGATTAATTTTAGCACGTTTAAAACTAAGGGTACAATTAATCTTAGTAACGTCCCAAAAATGAGAAGCTAAAAGACCTGCCCACTTTTCAGGTGGTAAAATATCGTATAACCTTCCGTCCCTATACATTTTTGATTCAGGAATAATGTTTAACCATTCTTGGGAGGATATTGTCAATGAGAATTCTATACTGTTGATTAGTTTTTCATCAGAAGTAATGCCTATGTTGTCATCTGAATCGTCATCTATTATGGATGGTTGACTACATGGCTCTGAAATTTTTGTTTGAAGTCTACTTCTAAATTGGTAGCGATTAGATAATATAACAGTATATAATAACTTTGGAGTGTAAGCGTAATTTAATTGCTTTGCGATTATTTTCCAAACAGAATGGGAAGGTGGATTTACTTTTCCATTACAGCAAAATAATTCCTCTTTGTATTTCGCAAACGTTGCGAATTCGTTCGCTAAGTTAGAATTTTTTTTAACCATATTTAAGAGTGGAATAATAGATAACAATGTAGTACGACCCACAATTAACAAATATTTTCAACCAGTTACGTGTACTGTGTAGTGTGTACTGCACAAAGCACTCTCGAACATACTTCTAATTTTATAAGAAAAAGAATACGTAACTTCGATGACAAATTTTTGTTATAAAGAGACCCTTTTATTTTTCAAGTTACAACGCTTGACTTTGTAAATTTGCTTTGCCTTAAGATTTAACATTAATGTGTTTTTTGTTACGTACAATAACAACCGTAAAAATGCTTACTGACTTAACGACTTAAGGAAGCATAAATACTGTCAATAACGCTAACGACTTATTTAGGTAACCTGTGCAGTTATTAAATGTAGTTGTTTTCTAATCCCAAAAGAAAACACGTTCTTTGAATATACCACTCGGGGTAGAAGTTGTTAATCCATTCCTTTTACATCGCAAATTTTGTTTCTTGAACTATGACGTGAAAAAATGTCAAATCTAACAACTACCTGCTTGCAGTTTGGTATTTAGATTATTTAGAAAGTACGAATATTTTAGGTATATAACTTTTATAATAAGATATTAATATAATTAAACGTAAACGAAATTAAAATATGATTTTTTTATTAAACAAAGAACATTATTCGAGTTTCGATATACGGTAAAGAATACAATATTATTAAAATCAACTATTCATATGAGGCATACGATTGAGACTGTTCCCTTCAGTCCCGGGCCGATGGTAATAACCTGCGACATCGAACAATGGAACCACGGATGTTTAGACTACGTCCAGACTCGCGGCGCCCAAAATTGATACATTAATAGAAATATAACAATAATAACGTGCTCTTCTTGTCTGAGGAATGTCGGAGTCCCTTAGGTTCACTCTGTGTTATTTATGAAACTAAGATTTAAAATTGAAAGGAAGATAACTATGCAAATACAAAGCACAATTTACTACATAACAAGCACAATTAATTGCGTTTAAAATCAATTTGAATTTTTGAAAAAACTGGGGGGCTGAGCGTCAAGTTAACCCTCCAGAATTGATATAAAAACTGGCTACCGGCTGACTGAATAAAAAAAATTTCAACGGCACAATTAATTACGCAACGAGCACAATTCATTTTAGTTGAAATTAGTTAAAATTTCTAAAAAAAACCGGGGGCTCAGCGTCAAATTAGCCCCCAAAATAGATTTTATAAAAAAAACAGCCACCGGTTGATTACATTAAAAAATTTTTACAGCACAATTCACTACACAACGAGCACAATTCATTTTAGTTGAAATCAGTTGAAATTTGTAAAAAAAACCGGGGGCTGAGCGTCAAGTTAACCCCCCAGAATTGATTTTATAAAAACTGGCTACCCGCTGACTGCATCAAACAAATTTTAACGGCACAATTAATTACACAACGAGCACAATTAATTTTAGTTAAAATCAGTTTAAGTTTGTAAAAAAAACCCGGGGGCTGAGCGTCAATTTAACCCCCCAGAATGGATTTTATAAAAACTGACTACCGGCTGACTGTATTAAAAAAATTTTAACGGCACAATTAATTTCGCAACAAGCACAGTTCATTTTAGTTGAAATCAGTTGAAATTTGTAAAAAAAAACCGGGGGCTGAGCGTCAAGTTAACCCCCCAGAATTGATTTTATAAAAACTGGCTACCGGCTGACTGCATCAAACAAATTTTAACGGCACAATTAATTATGCAACAAGCACAATTCATTTTGGTTGAAATCAGTTGAAATTTGTAAAAAAACCCGGGGGCTGAGCGTCAAGTTAGCCCCCGAATTTTTTAACACGGGTTATTTTTTTTTATAGCCTGCACAAATTTAGATATTTGCGGCACAGTGTAGCACAATCCCAGCACTATTAAAAAATGTGTCTTAATATATTTTTTTTCATTTTCGGGGGCTAACTTGATAGATTATGATATCAGTGAAGATAATATTATTATATGTAGTGTCATTCAAAGAAACGGCGAAAGCTGTGTATGCAGTGTAGGAAAGTCTCCTAATATGAGGATAGTGCCTAATATGGGGTAGATCAATTACTTCGAAACTACAACTCCGACAATTCGGAAAAAAAATATGTTTTACGAATATCAATAGATATAGCCGGTGCGTTTGATAATGTGTGGTAGCCGGCTATTCTATATGAATTAGGAAAAATTAAATGTGATTTATCAATACAGAAAATTATTAAAAATTATTTAACGGACCGAATTACAGTTTATAGTAATAAATATCAGAAAATAACAAAAGAAATCAGTAAAGGTTGTCCACAAGGATCAGTATTAGGACCTACTTTTTGGAATATTATTTTTAACAATAGTTTTCAAGAGAATGTCAAAAAAATTGCATATGCAGATGATAAAATTTTTATACCTAATTGAAGAAAACTCAAGAAAAAAATTAGAAGATACTGGAAATGGATATTAAAAGACCCCCTACAATAAAAATTTATAATAAACAAATAAAAAATTTCGAATGAAATGTGATATGCGAGATTAGTATGTATGTATGTTGCTTAGTTCTCGTTCGTCGTACTTGTCTATATCTGTGTAAAAACTCTTCAAAGAAAAGTAATAAAAATGGGTGATAGGCAAATGGCCTCAGCAGCCGAAGCCTTAGGTGGGGTTTTAGTGGGTATACCTAGCAAATGGGAGAGCCCCACACTACTCTGGAACTTCCTTCTAGAGTGTGCAGAAGGAGCATTTCCCCACCAATACAAAAAAAAATATGGTTAATAATATAAAATATTTACGAATAACAATTCAAGAAAAATTAAAACAACATGCACATTCAGATCTATTCACTAACGTGGTTGACTACCGTCAATAGTTGACTTGATATCAACTAATATTCTCAATGTTGAAAATATTTGGTAT